ATTGCCGGAAATAATACCCAGGTGCGATTTGAAATAAATCAAATGCTGAGTGGGGGAACCCTTCCCATCGAACGGCGTGAAGTTGATTAAACTGAACTTCGCCGGATAGGGGATCGATTCCCATTCTCGTGGGTATGGACAGGGAATGCCTGTTTTCTTCGTCTCTTGAGCGGAGATCAATGTGTTGATTTTGCTCTCGAGATCTTTGATCTTCAAGTCTTCACTTGTATCTTCGTTGGCATCCTCGTTACCACCCCCTGTATTGACAGGAGGGTTATTGGCATTGTGAGCTTCATCCCTATCTGCGTGCTCCTTTTCCTGAATAATCTGGTTACGGCGGTTCGATTCACTTTGCTGGTTCCTGAATGCATGGATTTGCTGCTCATGCATCTCTCTCATCTGCTGCATGGCCATCTCCATCTCGAATTTGAAACTTTCTTTCTGCTTAGCCAAAGCGTCTTCAAGCATCTTGGCCATTTCTTCCGCGCTTATCATAAATGACTCGCGGGGTTGTCCTTCGCTGGACACTGTATTGTCCGATGCGACAGCAGAGCAGGAATCCGATTCTTCATCTTCCGAAGGCAATCTTGTCCGAACCCTACCATAAGTTCCTCGTGCGATGGCTCCGGACTGCAGACGGGTTACACGCCGGGACGCTTCCAGAAACGATTTGAGATCAATCTGTGTCGATGTCTCTTTGCTGGTCATGTTGGCGGTGACCCTCGGAAATTCTCCGTCTTTAACCACCGTTCTTCTTTGCCGGAAACGCCTATACCTTGGTTTTGGCGTTTCGGTGCCGAGCCTTTCGAACACTGAAATTCTCTCGGGGACTACCTTGATGCAGTTGCATTGAGACAGTACCGCCCGAATGAGCTTTGAACAAGGGCACTGAGTTTCTAGCCTTCGAGGACTCCTCTTTCTGGCTTTGCTCGTACCCCCAGCATGATAGTACAGCTCGTCCGTTTGAAAGTCAGAGCAACCTATCGTGTGTTGGCACAATTTCTCAGGTATAACGTAATCATCATCAGATGATAACGTTTCCTTCTGAGGGAGAATTGCCTTCCTTGGACTTTCAAGAGTCACGCGCCTTGAGACATGCCTTTTTGGGCGTGAATTCTCAGCGGGCTCTTGGACCTCAATGCGCAAATTAGCGCGCGCAGTTGCCTTGAGCTCCTTGTCATGTTGGAGGTAGCGGTGACCCCCAGCGTGTTGATTCGTTCGGGGTTTTCTTAGTGGGCCCAAACGTTCTTGGATCGGAGCTTTGCTTCGCTCATCGGGAATTGGACCGAGGCGCTCCAAGACTGGCTTTCTTCTTCGGGAGGATTCTGCATGATCTCCCGGAGTAGCTATGGGAATTCTCGGCGACTTAGCTGGGTTCGCCGGAGGTTGAATTTTGGTTGGAGGCTGCAGTTGCTGCTTTTTGGTCTGAACCGCCGCTTCAGACTTCGGCCTCCAAACTTTGCGAGTTGGTGGCGGCTTCTTGGCCACTTCTTTCTGCAACTTTCTACGGGCTTCTTCGGCTTGAGCCCGTGCCTGCGCTGATAGTGCGCGGCGTTTGCGGATGCGTTCTTCCAGCGTCGAACGATTCCGTTTGACACGGACCCATTCCATTGTTGGCGGCTTGGAAGAGGCGCCGTTCATCTGTTGTTGAGGCTGTTTGCCTCTCTTGTTCTTCAGACCCGCGTTGTAGCGGACTCCGTCGGTGGACTCCATCGCTTTGGCGAATTGTTTGGCCAAGCGTTGGCGTTGCCTTTGGCGGGCTCTCTTTGAGAGAGTCACCGCTCCTTTGGTGACGGAGGAATTGGTTGGAACCAGCTTGATCTGGTTGGAGATTGGTGGAGCCTCATCTGACGCAACTTTGGCGTCAATCGAGATGAGGTCGTCGTTGGTAGCTTCAACTTCTTCGTACCAACGCACCTTTCTGTTGGAAGAGAACTTGGACTTCTTGGACTTGCGGGGGGAGGTTGATCTAGACGAGGATGAAAGGTATTCCTCGAACTTGGTCTGATCGAACTCGTATTCGACCTCCTCCACGACTGGGATCAAGATCCGCGGCTGCGACGCTCCGATCTCGGCAGCGAGATCGGTGGCTCCCACTGTGGTCGCCAGATTGTTCGCTGGAAAATTCGTGTCTTTCTTTGTTATTGATTCCATTGTCATCTTGAGTTACAACTTTTTGAGTTACAAAAGATCCGGTCTTTTTATAAGATCCGGTTACAACGAAAATCAAATAAAAATAAACAAAGATTACAACTTTTCTCCTTTTGTGTCGAACGAATCGCGAGCTCCTGTTTTGCGGTCGGCCGAGCCACCCCAGGGTGGCTCGGCCAAGGCCGAGCCACCCCCTGGGGTGGCCGAGCCACCTCAGGGTGGCTCGGCATGAGCCGAGCCACCTTGAGGTGGCCGACCCACCTTGAGCTGGCCACACGTGCACACGGGCACGGGCACAGTAACGAGAGCCTATAAATAGGCCAAGGGGTTCTTCATTTCAAAAGGTTGGAAATTTTGGAGAGAGGCGAAGCCCTGCTGGCTTGGAGACTCGGAACTTAAAAAACTTTGGGACATCAAGGACTTGCTCATCCAGATCTGGTGCTCGGCGATCATCAACGTCAAATAAGGCAGGTGTTCGAGAGGATCAGATCTCAGATCTACGCGTACGAACTCCGGATCTAGGCTTGGTCTTAGATCCCGAGACTTGGACTATTGTTTCCTTAGTGAAACAATCCTCCCCGGCTATTATTTCCTTGGTGAAATAATACCCGTTGTACTGCGTAGATCCGACCGGATCTAGATCTCGCGGTGGTCCACGGCAAACAACCCCGGCGCAGGCAAAGAACCCACAAAGCGAGCGACCGCAAAACAGGAGCTCGCGATTCGTTCGACAAACAAGGAAACAAAGTTGTAATTTTCATTTCTTTTCAATTTGATTTTCGTTGTAACCGGATCTTATAAAAAGACCGGATCTTTGTAATCGATAGACTATTACAAGAGTGTACAATGGAATCATTAATGAAGAAAGCAACGGTTTTTCCCGCGAACAGGTGGCTCGGTTTCGGCCGAGCCCCCTTAGGCGTTATTTTTCATCGTTTTCCATTTTCGGTTCTGTCCGTGATCCAGTTCTGTGGTTGATTTGTCTGGACTTGATTCGTTGACCTGATTTGGCAGTAAATCTGGATCCTGATTAGGCAGTAAATCCGCTTCTGAGTTCGAGTCCGAACTCGTTGACTCTTCAACACTTGGTCTTGACTCCGAACGCGAATGGATGTATTCCGTGGCTTGCGTGCGATTCGTCAACCTCGTCGCCTCGTTGGTTCGTCGGTTTGTGCCGAGCTGTGCTAAGGGACCTATAAGCAATTTTATATGCCTACAGATATGAGTCTAATCCTAGGGAAAATAATGATGAAGAACCCTTGGTGCATAGTGATGATGAAGCTCCGGTCAACAAAAAAAAAATGCTAAAAAAGAAAAAAAAAGTTAAGTATAGTTTCTTTAATGATGAAGTGGATATGAAAGCAGTTCATCTCACTCCAGGGTTAATGTTTAAATCTCTTTACTATATCATGTTTATTGCATTCTTATCTTTGTTTTATCTGCTTTGTACCTACACTTGATTATTGTTGATTCCACTAGAGAGATATTACTGTGATGGTGAAACGTGTTATTGTACAGTGTGGGTGCATGATATGTTTGACATCTTTGGATTCACGTAGGATTGCAGCCTTGTGTGAAACCAGGGGCATCACAATAACTAAAATAGAGAATGGTCTTGAACAAGTGGCAACTGCTTATCAAAGCGATGATTCAATTGAACCTCCAAATTATTATGCTCATGAAGCACTAAGTAGTGATTATGATGAGTTACATGAGATTAGGTAGTGCAACAAGGAGCTTTTAATCAATGAAATGAGATTGGAATGGAAAGGATGATGAGGAAGGATTTGTAGTAATTAATAGAGGTGTAAGTCATGCAGTCCACTTGGGCAAAAAGACTTGATCATGTAAATTATGGGATTTATCAGGAGTTATATGTGCTCATACTATGAGTGCCATACTATTAATGAGGAAAACTCCAGAGGATTATATATCTCATTGGTACAAAAGTGAGACTTACATACAATGTTATGAATGCTTTCTAAATCCTGTCCAAGGTAGTACATTTTGGGATGTAACAGGAGAGTACTCAGTTTTGGCTCCTACCATTGCGAGGAGAAAAATCGGAAGGCCCAAGAGAGCAAGGAGGAGGGATCCATCAGAGGGTCCAAGGAATCCTTTCAAAGCATCGAGGCAAGGAGTATCACTTGGATGCAGCCATTGTGGATCTACTGAGCACACAAGGAGAAGATGCCTTACTGCCCAACCAAGAAAGCAAACTACACAAGTAACTTAATAGTTTATTTTCTATATTCATCTACACTATTTGTTTGATGTTGTTAGGAGTTGCATACACTGCCTAAGTTATTTGTTTGTTGTTTCTATATTTGGCTGTATTTATCTTTCAGGAATCACAATAAATTGGAGCTGAAGATTTAACATCTCAAATAAGAAAGAAGGATAGACCTAGGGGAAGCAAGAATAGGATTGGAGTTTCAATAGAAGACATTCCACCAAACAATACTCCTAATCCAACATCAATATTAAGAGAAAAGAGAAGAAGGTTGGTAGCTACTACAAATGAAGGAGGAAGAGGTACAGGAAGTGGGAGAGGAAGAGGTACATGGAGAGGCAGAGGGGGAGGAAGGGCAAGTCAATTGAGCATCCCAGAAGGGTATGGGTTACGGCAAGGGGAGGATGGTGAGATGGCATTTAGAGCTCCAAGTGAAAGTCAACCAACAGTAATACAATTGTCATCTAGATTCCCCTCCTAGACTTCTGATAATCAGGGTTGAAGTTCTACTCAGTTGTTTTGTTTTTTATTTTCGCTGAAGGCATAGCTTATTTTGGACATTGTAGTGCAAATTTTGGACTTACAATCATTTCAACCAACTCAAATTACATATATATCAATGAAATACTATCATGACATAACCTCCAGTTGATCATAATACAACCATTTCGCATATCACAATACAAACAATTCTAAACAAAATACATAAGTAAAGAGCAAACAATCAAACATAATATCAAATAACACGTCGTCTTCCTCTTTTCTACTACAAATGCAGCCTCTAATTTTGATATTACATTTGTCAATTCCACAACCTCTTCCAAAGAGGATTCAGCTTCATGTTGAGTCTATTCAATCTCTTCTTTAAGCCTCATAATATCTCATGGCATCCTCTTATCTCGTTATCACCCTTTGCAATCATCTCCTCTTTAACAAACAAAGTGTTTCTCAAACTAGTGAGTTCTTCTCTATATAGTGGGAAAATTTGAGTTGCAACGCTACACATAGGCTTATCAAACCACTCCCACAATTCACAGCCACCGGCCTACCTTTACGCCAAAAAAAATATAAAACAAAATATAATAAAACGAAATGCCAGAAAATTTAACACCAAATCAAGACAGCTTACATGTTGATTAGGGCATTTGTAGAACCTCCGACAAGGATTCTCATTTGTCGTGGAAGTGTAATACTCACACTCTACACTTAACTTTACCCCGGATCTCTTTGCTATATCATTCCACCGTCAGTACACATTTCTTCCCATTCAATCCTTGTCTACTTCTTCCCGCACTCAAGTTTGACAGCGACCGTGATTGGGTGCTTGAGCTTGGAGAATCCATGGCCAATTTCAGCAGAGAGCCCAACACTTTTAATCCATAGGATGAGAAGAACCCAATCTCAAAACCATTCTTTTAGCCCTAATTTGTAAAATTTCCTCATTTCATCTAAAATGAATGAATCCGACTATCACTGACAACTCAGCTAAAAAAAGCTACCTAGGCATCACATGACTTGCTCACGTGACTAGCCAACGCCGAAAATTGGGCTCCGATCAAAAACTTATGTCTAAATGTCATTGAACTCCACTTTTAATACCTTATTGTTACGGGTGTGCAACGGTCGGTTCGGTTCGGTTTTTACCAAAATTTGAACAACCGAACCAAACCGTCTATAATTCAAAACCGAACTGAACTGTTACAAGTCGGTTCGGTTCGGTTTGTTCGGTTCTAACTTCATCAAACTTCTTACCAAACAACAAACTGTGTTAAAGAAAAAAAGATATCAACAAAGTAGGAGATTATGAAGCATTAAACACTGATATAATGTTATTGTTTTCAACCCATAATGATTCAAAAAATAAGTTTAGGGTTTGAGTCTTTAACTCTTTGGGGACGGGTCGAGTAGGGTTTAAGATCAAAATGTGTAGTATTGCACTATATTCGGTCGGTTCGGGTCGGTTCGGGTTAAAAAGTTTTCAAACCGACTCGAACCGCCTTACTCATAAAACCGATTTTTTTGGGTCGGTTCGGGTCGGTTCGGTCGGTTTTTTCGGTTTGGACCGAACCATGCTCAGCCCTACTTATTGTCACCGGATGAAGAAAATATACCAATTTCATAGTTTAGTATGTATGTGTGTGTGTGCACGCGTATGTATGTATACATGTGTGTGTGTGTATATATATATATATATATATACTTCCCAGAAAATGTAACAAAAATTGTTCAAAGTTTTAGAAACATAAAAATTACGTGTGAACAGAAAAATTGTAACTGGAAGTTTAAACTGAACAAAACAGTTGCAATTGCAAACCTAAATCTCCTCCTTATCAAGGAGAGTTGATGCTTTTGCTTGTTGATTTTTTTTGGGTTGACACCACTTTAACACCCAAAAAAAAGCAAGCTACATATGACCTAAGCTCTGATTCATAATTTCTTTTATTTCAAGCATGAGATATTGGATTGGGTTTAAATACTCATGGATTTTTTGATTGCTTACTGACTTCATAAAATTCAGAAAACAAAAGTTTTTTTCATAGCCTCTTGCTCAAACCTCTCATCAAAAGAATATGGATTCTTAACTAAGTTTTTTTTATTCTTAACTAACAAAGAATAAAGTCTCAATCTTTCTTGTAAAACCTATGGATTCTTAACTAAGAATGCAACAAAAGAAAGAAATCTTGAGGGGAAGCTTACCCAAATCAAGTCTTGAGCTTGAAGATGGATGAACCCTAGTCTTGAGAGGAGAATAACTTTGACCAAGGAGGAGAGGAAATCCGAAATTCCTTTGAGAAGTTGAGTTTTTTTTTAAAAGGCAAGAATTTTGGTGGGTTAGGAGTTCTTGAAGAGAAGAAACAATGGAGTTTGAAGGCAAGAATTTTGGTGGGTTAGGAGTTCTTGAAGAGAAGAAACAATGGAGTTTGAATAGGAGGAAGAAGAAGTTGAGGGGGAAAAGGACTCTTTTTTCTTGAAGAGAAGAAACAATGGAGTTTGAATAGGAGGAAGAAGAAGTTGAGGGGGAAAAGGACTCTTTTTGAAATGTGAGAGTTTAAGAGGGAAATGAAAGTACAAAGCAAAAAAAAGAAAAAGAAAAAGGGGGGCGGAGTGTCTCGGCCAAGGCCAAGACACCCACAGCTATCTTGGCCCAGGTCGAGCCCCCCGGGTATTTTTCATGATTCTGTTTCGCCTAATTTCGCCGGTGATTGGTTATTATGATAAAAATTAACACAAAACAACACCGGGCGATCCGAAACCCTAGGTTAATGCCGGTCAACGTGTAACCCTAGGTCAACGCCAGTCAACGCGTTACAATGAAAAGTCAACGTCGGACGATCCGAAACCCTAGGTTAACGTCGGTCAACGCGTAATCCTAGGTTAACGCCAGTCAACGCGTTGTAATAAAAAGTCAACACCAGGAGATCCGAAACCCTAGGTTAACGCCAGTTGATAATCACATTTTATTACAATTTTATACCCTCATTATCTATTTTATATGAATAAATATGTCATTAATAATTGTTTTTATCTTTAATTGCAGGTTAGTGAAGAATAAAGCCCAAGATCTCTTATCTCAACAAAAACCCGTGAACTAAATGAAGAACACAAGCAAGAGTCAAAAAGCTCAAGCCTAGAATCAAGCCGAGTAGCCTGTAGAAGCCGGAGAAAATAAAAAAATTAAATATGAAAAAAATGTATTCAAGATAGTTGGCCGCAAAGAAACGACGATATCTCCCAATCCGGAAGGCAGAATTTAACATATAATATATAAAAATCGCCTATCTCGACGATACGAAGCCAACCGTGAAGTCAGAATTTTTATTAGAGCATCGATACGGGCATCGATGCGGACATCGATGCCTGTATCGATGCGAAGTCATCCAGATTTCATCAACGACCGAAATTGCATTATTGGGGCTCAAGTTTGATCCAAGGGCTCTCATTCACTAATGTTTACTATAAATAAGGGTTGAGAGTGAGGGGTTAGAGGTGTAAAAATTTTTGTAACTCCTTTTGGAGAGGAGGACTACTCTTAATTGAGAAGGCTTTCCAAATTTATAACTTTTTGTTACAATTAATAAAATAATTTTTTTACCACTTTAAATTTTTCTCTTCTTCTCTTTGTTGGATGGTAAAGATGAAGATGAAGATGGAGATTAATTTGAAGGTTTGTTTTTCTTATTTCTCTTTTATTGCTTATTAGTTTAGATTTATTTTCATGTTTGTAATTAGATTTTATTTTCTTGTTTAAATAGCCAAGAGGCTAGAACCCTCTTGCCTTAGATTTATTTCATCCTTATAGATTAGATTTATTTCATGCTTATAGAGTAGATTTATTTTTTTTGCATTTAATTCTTACAATTTATTTTGTAGTTTAGATTTTACAATTTATTTTGTAGTTTAGATTTTATAATTTATTTTGTAGTTAGATTTTAATTTCTTGTACTATTCACCTTGAGGCTAGAACCCTCTTGGGTTTAATTTTTTTTTTTTTTTGTTCATTTTTATTTTCTTTGATTCACCTTTAGGCTAGAACCCTTTAGGGAATCACCTTTTTCTAAGAAGTAGATTCAATTCTAGATTACCTATATCTTTAATTGAATCCGCTATCTTTACATTCTTGATTTTTATTTGTTCTTGATTTTTCTTCTTGTCTTGTTGATCACATTTATATTATCACTTCCACTCTCAAATATATTCATTTACACAATTATTTTCATCTCTCCACAATCACATTCACTTATCACTCCTATTTGTCACGCACACAACATAAGAACCGATTTCATATTTTCTCCTACAAAACACCTTCCTCGTGAATCGATATCTTTATACTATAACTTGACACCGTTGTACACTTGTAGCATTTTTGGTGCATGTTTATGCCGCATCAAGTTTTTAGCGCCGTTGTCGGGAAAGGTGCTTAAGTAGGTTTTAATTATTTTGGTTCTTTAACTTGTATGTTTATTGTGAAGGAAACGCTTGGAGCTTGAAGATCGCGGATTGGAGAACTAGGATTTGAAGATTTGCTTGTAGGTAATTCTTCTTTCTAGAATTTTTAAGTCCACCCTTTAGCTACTTCTTCACAATTAGAGACAATTAGGACTTAAAAAAGAGATTTTATTTTTGTTGACCATAATAAAATTCACCCTCCACTTTGACATTTACTAACAATATAATAAATTCAAATAATTTTCCCCTTCTCATTTGTTTGATTGTTAACCCTAATTAAAAAAAAGATTTTTTCTTTTCCATCTTTTTTAGTTGCTTTTAATTCATAGGGTTACATTTCATATTGTTAGTAGGAATTTACCAAGTAATTTGAGCATCTTGATTTAGCACACACTTAAAAATATTTTTAAGGGCAAAACCTCATATTCAAGATAAGGTGAGGAATTTCATCACCCTTCCCTTAACCCAAAAATCACTAATTCCTCACTACACCATCCAAGCCTAATAAAACTCATTAGACGTTGGTCCTAAGGATTCGATCTCAATAAGGAACAAAGAATCCTTAAGTGAACCGGTTTAAGTTTTTTTGGATTAGTTGGTGTCTAAGGTAAGGTTTAGGGGTTACGTAAAGCGCTCCGTAAGGAACGATGCACTTAATTGATCTCTGATCACCCTCTAGTACTATCCTTACTTGGCTAACTACCCAGGTAAAACTTTAATCTTTTCACTTTAGGAGTTTTTTGGTTAGGAGCTAGTCTAGTTGAGTTAGGCTTAACCCTAGAGTTAGAGTGATTGAAAAGTAATTGATTTTGATTTGTTTAGTTAGGATTTTTCCTCTTTTTCCATTCTCTCCTCATTAAAAAAACTAACTTTTAGTTAGGATTTTTCCTCTTTTTCCATTCTCTCCTCATTAAAAAAACTAACTTTTATAATAAAAAAAAGTATAAAAAGAAATAGTTTTAGTGTATGCAACCGTGGATTAGGGATAATACACATCGATTAATTCGCTTTGAACCAATCATAGAAATGGCGTATCCTAATCCACCCGTTCTTCAAGATATGTGCTATCCCATTAGGAATGCAATCCCCTCTTGTATTAGGCTCCCCGAAACAAAAGGAATAAATTTTGAGCTTAGACCGTATTACATAAATATGCTTCCCAAATTCTTTGGAAATGAAACAGAAGATGCATATATTTTTATCTCGGAATTTGAGGAAGTGTGTATTATGATTAAAATGAGAGAATTAACAGAAGATACGATCAAACTCAGATTTATTCCATTTGCTCTCAAAGACAAAGCAAAAAAATGACTGTATAGCTTACCCATAAATTACATCACTACTTGGGAAGAATTTATCACCATTTTTCTTAAGAAATTTTTTCCTATCCATAAAACGGTGAAGCTAAGAAACAGCATCATGAATTTTAAAATTGTCCCAGGAGAACCTTTTTGAAAATATTTTGACCGATTTAAAGATCTTCTCATCCAATGTCCTCATCATGG